AGCAGGCCAGGCCTCCCTGTCCCTCACCATCTCCCGAAGTTTGCCCAAGTTCATGTTCATTGCAGAGTCTGCCTAAAATCACCCAAATCTATGGACTTGTTTGTTTCTGCCATGCTGTGCGGCTTGCGGGATCTTAGTTTCCTGACAAGGGATCAAACTCACAACTCCTGCAGAGGAAGCACAGAGTCCTAACTATTGGACCATCAGGGAAATATCCCAAATTACCCAAATCTCGACTCTAACCCCATCTTCAGCATAAATTCATTGCTGTTATTGTTGTTCAGTCGTTAAGTTGTGTCTGACACTTTGTGACCCCATGGACTGCAGCATGTCAGTCCATCCTAAAGAAAATGAACTCTGAATATTCATTGGAAGGACTGATGCTGAAGCTGAAGCTCCAATACTTTGGCCACCTGATGCAAAGAGCTGACTCATTGGAAAAGACCCTGATGCTGGGAAAGACTGAGATAAATCCATACATAGCATGTATTTTTTTTTTTGCAAGATGAAATACACCTCGATTCTTTTAGAAATGCAGTCAGCATGCAAATTAACTTTTGTTCACAATTTTGCCAAGTATGAATCATCACTTTGCAAAACCCTGTCCGTGAAGGTGGCGATGGTTCTGGTCTCCAGAACCACCAGACCCAGTCAGTCAGGACTTGCAGCTGCCGCAGAGAAGGCTCTGCTTATGAGCACATGGCAATTCCCCGCTCTCTGTTCTAGCGCGTGCCTGAGCATTTACACAGACACACACGGCGATTCATTACACATCACTCACCTTTAAAGCTTAGCAAGAGCATTTTGTTGATTTTTAAACTAAGACACGTGGTTGTGTTATTTTTATGGATTTCCTTACATTTAAGGAGGTGTTATACTAATATCTATAGTTAATACCTTTAATAATAATGTCTTTCTTATTAAAGGGAGCAAAGGATCTGAAAGGCTGGGAACCATAGCTTAACACCTGCATTTTGGAGCCTTTTCTTTGTTTTTTGTTTATTATTTGCTGTTTGCCTTCCTTTATGAAATAGAAACAATTAAGTTAAAATAGTCACCCCTTCTTTAAACACTACTGCTTTCTTATGAGTATAACTGATATAAGATCAGGGCTTCCCTGGTGGTTCAGACGGTAAAAACAACTGCCTGCAAAGCAAGTGCAGACATTTCAAGTGTACAACCTGATGGACATATTTAAACATCTGTCAGACCATCAGGGAAATCAAGACAATGAACACGCCCATCACCCCCACAGGGCTCTTCTCTCTGGAATTTCTCCCTCCCATCTGACCACTACCTCCTACTTCAGGCCACCACTGATCTGATTTCTGTCACTACTGACTTGCTCTCATGTTTCTTGACTTGTACATAAAAGGAATCACCTAGTAGGTACCGCTGCCTGGCTTTGTTCACTCAGTTTAATTATTTAGAGATTTTTCACGTTGCTGAGTGTATCAATAGTTCATTCTGTTGTATTGCTCACAAGTCCTCCCTTGCATGGCTACACCAAGATTTGCACACCTATTCACTTGTTAACTGGAGAAGAAAATGGCAACCCATTCCAATATTCTTGCCTGGAGAATTCCATGGACAAAGGAACCTGGCAGGGTGCAGTCCATGAGGCTGCAAAGAGTTGGACACGACTGAGCGACTATCACTTACTCACTTGTTAACAGCTGTCTGGGTCCCTCCCAGCTTTGACCACCACACACAAAGCTGCTACGAACATCTCTGCATGAGTTCATGAACACACGTCTTCAGTTCTCTCAAGTATACACCTAGGAGTAGAATGCTGGGTGGTATCGTTAACTGTGTAACTCCCGTGGCTGATACATGTCAATGTGAGGCAGAAACCACAATACTGTAAAGTAATTAGCTTCCAATTAAAATAAATTAATAAATTTTAAAAAATATTTTTTGATGTGGACCATTTTTAAACGCTTTATTGAATTTGTTACAATATTGCTTCTGTTTCATGTTTTGGTATTTTGGCCACAGGGCATATGGGATCCCAGCTCCTGGACCAGAGATCAAACCTGGACCCCATCCCTGCATTGGAAGGTGAAGTCTTAACCACTGGACCACCAGGGAAGTCCCTAACTTTAAAAAAAAAAAAAAAATTGCCCAAGTCTTTTTCAGAGCTGCCAAATCATTTTATAGTCGTTACAACAGGAACCACAGGCCTTAATCTATGGGAGGCCGTTAAGTTGAGAAATTTCCACTTTTTTTGTTACACTCAAAATCATCTGATGAAAATCAATGAGCCACTGGATTTTAAACCCCCCCCCCAAAATAAATAAAATAAAACTCAAAGGTCAGGGGAGTGGAGGAAGCAGCTCGGACCTGGCCCTGAGAGTAGGCACTCAGAGGTGAGGAGAGGAGGCGCAGGCCTGAGCCCAAGAAGCCAAGGAGGCCCCCTCCTGCCCAGGCCTTGGTCCCCTGCTCCCCAGGAGCCCCGGGGCGCCCACCAGACCCTCCTCACCCCCACCCACGCCTGCGGGGGTCACGGGTGCCGGCTATGGTTCACACCTCCAGGAGTAGAGCCAGGGACCCATTGCCCTCGATTCTCACCCCATGATCCACCGTCCCCAGAGCACCCCAACTGGCTGTTACAAAACAGAACTCCCAGGGGCTTCCCTGGTGGTCCCGTGGCTAGGACTCCACACTTCCCATGCAAGGGCCCCAGGTTCGATCCCTGATCAGTCAACTAGATCCCACAATGTGCCGCAACTAAGAGTCTGCAAGCCGCAATTAAAGATCTCACATGCCACAATGGAAACCCGGAGGCCGTGCCACTGCTCTGCATAAAGCCCACCTGTCTTCTCACATCTGGGATCAAACCCTAGCCCAGTACCACAGCCTATGAACCCCTGCAAATACGTGTCTTGCTTTTCCTCCTCCCGTTCTCCCCACCTCTCACCGCACTTCAGCCACACAAGCCCTGCGCTGCTCCGTCAGCACGCCACCTCACCTCTGCCTCAGGACCTTTGCACTAGCTGTTCCTGCAAACGGAAAGCCCTTTCCTACGTTTGCACGCAGCTCCCTCCCTCCTCTGACACCGAGTCTCCACTCAGAGGGGCCACCCCTGACCACCCAACCTGTATCGGCTCCCAGTCACTCTGGCCCTCACGGCCCCTCCTTGTTAATCTCATCATCTCACTTCACACTCTCTCCCGCTTCTCACAGGGTGTGTTACACTCCTTAAGCCCTGGATCCCACGCGAAATTGGAGTTGCACCAGACAAGGAGCCTGTCTCTCCCGTTCCACTCTCTGAGCCCCCAGGGCCTAAACCACGCTCCTCAGCAGTCATCAACTCTATCTGCTGAACAAAACAGCCAAGGGCCAGGCCGGTGATGGAGCTTCACGTTGCAAGGCCGGTCCTCCTCCTAGGAAGTCTCCTTGCTGACCTCTCCCATAGCTGTGGCAACCGGCTCACGGGCAGAGCCCCAGAGGACAGCCATGTGGACACCCCCTGCCACCCGGCATGGGAGAAAGCCTGAAGACACACCTTCTCTCCAGGAAGGAGGCTGCAGGCCAGGCCGAAGGGAACCAGAAACCCCATCTCTGCCTGAGACCCTCCAACTGGGTCACAGACACGGTACCCAGCCAGAGTCACATGTGCGCAGAGCACCTCCTCACCAGGTAAGCCACAGAGGCTCAGCTCAACCCACCTCCCGGGAGACGTCGTCTCCTCTGTTCACGGCCACTGCAGGCAGTCATAAGGTTCTCTGCTGACGCCCTGGTGGCCGGGGTTTCTCTCCTGGGAGGCCCGCTGCTCTGCGGGGCTGGGCACCAGGCTCGGGGCTTCCCAGAGGGGCACAAGTAATAAACAATGCAGGAGATGCCGGAGATGTGGGTTTGGTCCCTGGGTAGGGAAGATCCCTTGGAGGAGGGCATGGCAACCCACCCTGGTATTCTTGCCTAGAGAATCTTACGGACAAAGGAGCCTGGCAGGCTACAACCTATAGGGCTGCAAAGAATCAGACACAAATGAAGCGACTTAGCACACTCGCGCACACACCAGGCTGGGCCCTCGTCAGCCGGCTCTCCAAGGTGGGCACCATCCCATAATGACTACAGGAGGACTGACACCATCCCCTGCCATCAGAGTCCCTCGAGAGTTCGAGTCTGGCTTCTCTGGTCGCAGGATACATCTTAAGTCAATGTCATACCCTGGTTTAACTGGCAGCTGTTTTCCTTTTTCACTGGTGCATCACACAGTTGATAATGTCATAATGATGCATCGCATAGGTGATGACGTCTCATATTTGAAGGAATAAGACAAATACATGCTGGGGAGGCCCTCGCCTGACTCCCAAAATAACCTGATGACAGAGCTTGGGGTTGGCATACAGCTCGCATGGGGGGAGGGTGTGAAATCCAAGACGGAGAGTGAGCAGTGATGTAAAGCATGGACTCAGTGTGGCCTCAGAGGCTGTCACCGACGTGCCCCTCCGGTGGGGGTACCCTGGTGGCGGGCGGGGGAGGGGTGCGTGCAACCCTGCAGCTTCTGCTCAGACCCGCTGTGAACCTAAAAGTGCTCCAAAAAATGAAAGTCTGTTGACAAAAAATCCAGTACAGCCCAAATCACCCTCGACTGGGGCTTCTTAGGCTGCACACCTCAAGAAGCAGTTGATTTGGCGTGTTGAACTGAAGCATTTAAAACAGTAAGAATGCTCAGGATGCCAGCTGCTCAGAGGGAAGGAGAGGAAGCGAGACAATTCCGGGAGGATGGGGTCGCCGAGGGTCGCGGCAAACAGAATCCGCAGACTTGACATCTTTCTCTTTTCTTTTCTATCCGAATTGCCTGAGCTACATGGTGGACTCCACTCCACTTGCGGATGAGCAAACCGTGGTTCTGAGACGGGAAGCAGCCCACGGAGGGCTGTGACATTTAAGGGACGGCACTGCGACCATCCCAGGCCACGGTGGAGGGACAGGGCTACCGGCTCAACCTAGTGAGTGTCCGGCGTGCCCGTGGCCAGATGCCTGGCACTTACTTTCTGGACTTGGCACATTCCTTCTTCCAGTTCTTTACCAAGACTGGCACGACTTGTTCTGACATGTCCTCCTTATTCAGGGACCAGAGGTCGGTGCTCTCCAGGGGCTGGCGGTAGCCCTGGACCATCATCCTGTGGCCAAAACACAAGAGGCGATGAGAGTCAGCCCTCCCCGCTACTGTGGCCCACACGACCACAGGCAGCTGTGATCAGGGAACTCTCAGTATGAATGGACATGTGGACACACGGCATCATTACTGCTAATTCCCTTAGATCCCCCAGGAAAAACCGCCTCGTTTTTAGACAAACATACAGAGTATTTAGGAGGAAAGTAGCAGGATGTTTCTAATTTACTTTCCAAAAAAATGTTTAAGGCTAATATCATAGAGCATTAACCATCATTATATTTGGTGATGAGTTTAAGGTTTATTAGCCTAGCCTTCCTGCTTTGAATACTTTCATTATAAAAGGGAAACTTAGTATTTTAACTTGTTATTTTGAAAGATTTCAAATTCAGAGAAAAACCAGAGGAATTGTACAAAGAATTCTTGTCGATCCTTCACCAAGCTCATGACTGTTAACATTTCACACGTGCTGTATCTGTCTCTGTCTCTAGATACACATGTGTGCAAACACATACAAGGCAGACCTTGGAGATACTATAGGTCTGGTTTCAGACCACTGCAATAAAAGTGAATATCACAATAAATTGAGTCACAAGAATTGTTTTGGTTTCCCATACTACATTTATATTTACGCTTGCATTTTGTCTAAAAAGGAATATACAGAGCTTAACTTAAAAATGCTGTATTGCTAAAAAATGCCAAGTTAAGCATCATCTGAGCCTTCAGCAAATCCTAGTAATAATAGCAAGGATCACAGATGACCATAATAAATATAATAATAATGAAGACATTTGAAAGATTGAGAGAATTACCAAAATGCGACACAGAGACACAAAGTGAGCGAACGCTGATGGAAAAAGGCGCCAACAGACTCGTTTGGCACAGGGTGGCTACCAGCCTCCAATTCGGAAAAAACACGGTGGCTGGGAAGTGTAATGAAGTATGCCTCTATCTTTTTTCTGAGGAGGCTGCACATACCTTCACATACCCTACACCCCTGCACCCCTAAATATCAGTGCGTATCCGCCTAAGAGAAAGGACATGCTCTGATATCGCCAAAAGCCGACGACCAAAATCAGAAACATGAGCTCGGCTGGCATGACCAGTGGTTCATGTCCAAACACCATCCACTGTGTCACAGCTCTTCCTTCACAGCATTTGGAAAACAGTTAAGAAAAATACTAAATTAAAACGTGTAAAAAGTTCATAAAGACAAGGGAAAAATGCTTGGGGGAGGAGGAGGGCTTTAAATAATCCCCAGTAAGATGCTGACAATGTGCAGAAAACAACGTGCAAACAAAAGGCGGGCGAGAAGGCAGTGTGCTGAGCTGTGGGTGTGGCTGCCTCTGCTGCTAGTGGTCCAACACATTTCCCTCTCCCGTTTTCCCTATGTTATTTATCTCAGGGCGGCGGGGGTGGGGGGGAATGATGCTAATGGTAATAATTACACCCAATGCAAAACAAAAACAACCAAATCCGCAGCCAGGAGTCTGCAGCTTCTTGCCCAGGCCGAGCTAGTTATGCATTTATCACGTGACTGTGGGCTCAGGGTCAGAGTCGCCAAGACCCATGCCCAGGGCACACACACTCCGGACACAACCCTGTCGGAAAGGGCAAGGGAGGGAGGGCTGCACATTGGTGGCCCAGCACCCGCCCGAGGTCTGGGGGCCAGGACTTACCCTGTGATCCACCAGAAGGTGATCCTGGAAAGGAAGGAGGCACTGGATTCCGGGCAAGGATTCTATGAAGAGAAAGCACAGGGTGGGGAACCCAGGGGAAATGACAGGTTAAACTTCTCGTCTATGCCAGCTCCAGGCAGGGAGCAGCCAGCTCCCTGGTCCTCCCAGTGGGCCAATGGTTCATTCATTTCTTAGTTCATTCATTTATTCCACAAATATTTAATGAGCATCTACAAAGTGGCAGGCACAAAGGACTAGCATTATCTCGTATCTTCACAGAACCTGGTATGACCTCTATTTCTCTTTCTTTCATTCATTCATTCACTCATTCTACAAGTATCTTCTGAGCACCTACTATACACAAATCTGAACTAACAGACATAACCCTAATCCACGTCAACTGCTAACACTCTCTGCTAGCTATTAACAGTTCTGTTTTAAATGTTTTATGAAAATTATCTCCTTTAATCTTCACAATCACACTAGGAACTAGATAAAAGCATCGTCTCCATTCTGTAGTTACGGACACTGAGGGGCAGAGAGAGGAAAAGCCTTGCCCAGGGTGCCAGAGCTGGAAGCAGTGGAGACAGAACATGAGCCCCAAACAGTCAGGGTCTGGAGAGAGAAACATTAATCAATCTCGTAAACAAATTCAAAACCACAACTGTGACAAGGATTACATCCTGGAGGCAGGTCAGTATGACCAGTGAGGTCACTGGGACCTCATTGGGCTGATCCAGTTGATGGAGGTCAGGGAAGGCACTCAAGCTGGGGTCTGAAGAGTGGGGAGAGGATGACTAAGTGAAGGGGGAGAGACAAGGTGGTCCCAGCAGAGCGACTGATGTGTGCAGAGGCCCCGAGGTAGAGGGGAACATAGCGGGCTCCAGGAAACAAGAGGGGGCCTGAGCAGTCTACACTGGAAGATGTGCTCAGTCTACAGTGGAGGTCACGTAAGGGATTTTGGTCTCCATCGCAAGGGCAACAGGAAGTCATCAACAGATTCTAAGCAAGCTTTCAAACAACCTCTTTTCCCGGGGCCCCAAGGTTGAACTCCAGTTCAGGGCCACACAGGCAAGGCCATCAGACAGAGCCTTTGGGATTGCACATGAGGGCTGATACATTCAAGTCTAAATCTGGGGACACGAGCATTGGTGAAGGTGGGGTCACCAGACTAACGACGAGATCACTAGCCAAGGACGTCGCTCTCCATCCCAGAATTTCACAGAGATAAGCTGCTGGGGAGGGACGTCCCTGGAGGTCCGGTGGTTATGACTTTGCCTTTCAATGTGGGGGTGTGGGTTCCATCCCTGCTCGGGGAGCAAAGATCCCACATGCTTAGTGGCCCAAAATATCAAAACATAAAACAAAAATGATATTGTAACAAATTCAATAAAGATATTTTAAAATCCCGAAGAAAAAAAAAAAAGACACTAGAGGGACTGATGAGGAGAAGCAGTTGTACACCCCGGCCGGGGGCACTCGGAAAAAACACTGTATCTGCCCCACTCCCCAGGGGCTCCCATTTAGCTGGTTTGGGGTGGGTCCAGGTACTTGAATTATTGTTTTTGTTTTCAGCTCCCAGTCTCCTTGGCCAAGTGGCTGGGCAGGAAATGTACAAGATAAGCCCAGAATATCTTGTCACACCCAACAGGACAAAGGCAGGTAAAAGACCTCAGATGCAACCAAAAGTGGCTCTCACGAGTCCAGAAAGGGACAATTTGAGCTGCAATACAGACAGTAAGGCAAAAGGGCTGAGACATGTCACATTTTAAATACACAAGTTCACCTTGATACTGGAAGAGAAGGAAAATCTCTTGGTGTCAGTGATGAAAATGTACTAGAGAACCAAGTCACTGTTTTGAAAACAGAAGGAAAGAAACAAGCATTTGTCTATGACAACACGGGGTGACCAAAGGGATGAGGGGGTGTGTCTGCAATAAAATGGTTCAGCTATCAGGTGGAGAAGGAACAATACCAATAAGAGGCTGCACCACTCTGCAAGCACAGTGCATTTCTGGAATACTTGGTGATATTAAGGAATTAGTAAGTTGTTAGGCCATATAATGGTACCATTGTTGTACTCCTTAAAATCCTTATCTCTCAGACATTATTGTGGAAAGTTGGAGAAGGGTATATAAGAACACCACCATTGTTGTAACTTTTTGTGGGTCAAATTATTTCAAAATAAAATTTTAAAAATGTTTAAATTCCTTATCTGTTGCAGATACCTAATGAAATGTTTACATGTGATGCAGGGTAAGTAGTCCGTGGCAGGTAAAAATTTAAAATAAATAAATAAAATAGTCCATGGCACTCATTACACCATGCTGTCCACTGTTGTACACAGCTGAAAGTTTTTATCATGAAAATCTTCCCCAATGAGTCAAATATGAAACCTGAGCTAAGAACCACCAGGCTTCACTAGTACTATCTGTCCCAGAATCACCTGGGGAACTTCATAAACACAGGTGCCCTGACCTGCTAGACCACCCTCTCTGGGGGTGGGGGTGGGACCCTGGCATCGGGGTACCCTTAATCAGATGCAGCTAGCCCACAGACCAACATTCAGAACCAACCAAAAGCCAGATGGCCCTGAGTTTGAATCCCAGCTCTGCACTTTCTACCTGAGCAAGTCCTTTCACCCCAGAGTCTCAGTTTTCACACCTGGGAAATGGGAGTCAGGTGAGTCACACTGCTCAGCCTCCCCCGGGAGACTCCCAGGAGGAATGAGGTCTTTGAAGCCGCAGCATTATTCCCGGAGGAGGTGGTGATACTTGCTTTGCAGGCTTTTTCTTTTTTTCCCCACCCCTGGAAGTGGGCGGGTTATCAAAGAGTCACAAATGCACTTCAACTATCACCTAGTTCCTGCCCCTGTAAAAAGCTGGCGGAGAGAGGAAGAGATGCTTGGGACAATGACTCATTTCTTAGGCAAATACTGAGGGCGGACCTGCTTATATGCCAGGAGATGGCTAAATATCATTACATCCAAGGCCAAACAGTGAGGTCCTCGTCCAGTACCGCCTCCAGGACAGTAAGCAAACCAAGATGCAAATAAATATATAAAGATAAATGGTCAGAGCTATGAGGAGAACAGCAGCAGCAACGAAACAAGGGGCCTGAAGTGGGAGAGGGGAGGGGGGGTGCCAGGGTAGGAGGCACCCAGAGATGAAGCAACATGGAGCAAGGTGATCGGAAGGAGGTCTGAATCCCAGCCCTGCCACTTACTGGCTGAGTTACTTGGTGATGGTGAGATTAAGTGAGATAAAGCCTGTGAAGTACTCAGGATAGTTCCTGGCACAGAGTAAAAGCTCAAGCGATGACATTAGCAGTATTAACATTAAAACTAATGGTAACCCCAGTAACAAGTCCACTGTTTCCTGCAGACTCTGACACACCAAACAGATGTTTCATGTCAAGACCGGCAAACTCAGGCCCACAGCCCAGCCGCTTGCAAAGCAGTTTTGTTTGGACATGGTGATGCCCATTCATTTCCGTACTGTTCATGTCTGCTTCTGAGCTACAGATGAGCTGAGTACTTGCGAGAGAGACCCTGTAGTCTACAACTGTCTACCATCTGTCTCTTTGCAGAAAAAGTTGGCTGACCCCTGCTTACATCAGACCTCATGACATTCAAGATGGTGATTCTTAAGGAGAGGAACTGGAGCTCAAATGCAGCTTCTTTCGGTCTTGGCATAAACACAGGGTCATCCCTGCACAAAGATGCCCAGCCGAGGGGGCAAGTGGGGGCTGAAGTTCAGCCGGTGCCTGGACCTGGGGGGCAGCGGGGGGGTGATGGAGGGGGGACTGCATTAGCAGGAAGGACGTAGGGCCTTTCTCAAATTCACCCACCCAGGAGGGCCAGACGCCTTTTTCTAATTAAAAAAAAAAATTATTTTTTTCTTTTTGGCTGCACCACATGGCATGTAGGATCCTAGTTTCTCGACCAGGGATGGAACCCAGGCTTTGTGCAGTGAGAGCACAGAGTCTTAAGTACTGAACTGCCAGGGAGGTCCCCAGGTGCCTTTTTCTAACCTGCAGAGAGACCCCAGTGCAAACTGTCAGGGTGTCAGACTTATACACCCAGGGGCCTCACAAATCCTGCTGTTCCTTTGAAATCAGCCAAGCCTGGATGTGGATCAGGAATGAAACAACCTAGGATGGAATGCTGCATCTCTAAGCCTTCCCTCTAAGTTCCTGCCTCCTTTCCCCCAAGTCCTTAGGAGGAAAGCTATAGGATCTTATTTGGCAAGCTACTTTTTCTGCCCTCATCCTAAAGAAGGGATGCCCTCTCTTCTTGCTCTTTTTAGTTCTAGGGCCTGGTTGGAACTAACAGGGCTTGAGTGAGTCTGGGCAAAGCCTCTTTCCACTGAATGGATAAGTCCGACTTGTAAGCTGCTGTTACCATTCAGTCACCAAGTCGAGTCTGACTCTCTGCATCCCCATGAACTGCAGCACGCCAGGTTTCCCAGTCCTTCACTATCTTTCAGAGTTTGCTCAGATTCATGTTTATTGAATCGATGATGCCATCCAACCATCTCATCCTCTGTCACCCCCTTCTCCTCTTGCCCTCAATCTTTCCCAGCATCAGGGTCTTTTCCAATGAGTCAGTTCTTCGCATCAGGTGGCCAAAGTACTGGAGCTTCAGCTTCAGCATCAGTCCTTCCCATGAATATTTAGGACTGATTTCCTTTATGACTGACTGGTTTGATCTCCTTGCTGTCCAAGGGACTCTCAAAAGAGTCTCCTCCAGCACCACATTTAAAAGGCATCAATTCTTCAGCGCTCAGCCTTCTTTGTGGTCCAACTATCACATCCATACATGATTACTGGAAAAACCACCGCTTTGACTATACAGATCTTATTGCAAAATTCAGGCTCAAATTGAAGAAAGTACAGAAATCCACTAGACTATTCAGATACACCCTAAATCAGGGATGTATGTCAAATATTCCTCAATAAAACTGCAGTGGAGGAAGGGAGAAGGAAGGAACCTGGTGGCTGTATAACTGAAGATGAACTCAACCCCTTTATACCCAACTGTGCCCAGATGGAGTCCTACCTC